ATATTTTTATTTCAGGTTTGATTATTAGTATGGCGTGGACTGTAAGAAATCCTGAGAACTGGCAGTGGTCCATTTGCTTTTTATCCTAATAAATTGGTCTTCCTAGTTCACTCTGTTTAAAAATTAGTGCACATAGATATATACTGCTTCATATTACAAGCAGCATTAACCAAAGTATTAAGTTTTGCCCTTGAGTACACACAGATTTCACAATCTTCCCTTTTTAAGCTTTTTATTAACCGTCAGTACCATGCATCTTGCAAAAAGTGCATGTAGGGGATCTTACTTGTCAGAAAGTAATTAGTTTTAATTATGCTTTACAGATATTAACTTATTTTTTTACAATTGCAGAATTCAATCTTAGACAGGTGTTTTGCACCCATTTAGCTTCTTTTTTTAATTGTTCCTTGCAGCTTTGTCCATATGTCCAAAATACACTGGTCTAACAAAGTACTACTCAGTGAGTTCAAGTAAGAAAACAGGAAAGAAGAAGGTATAAAGACAAACTAATTTGAGTAGCTTTCAAATTTTTGATGTTCATGCATTCTTCATTTTGCTTTTCTCCATTGTACTACTGGACAGACTTTGCTTCACAAACTCCATGTGAATTTTTTTAAGATTTGGTTGTCCTTCAGTATTTTCTTTACACGGAAGGAACTTGACTCTGCTGTTTAGTTCTTATCACACTTACATACTTGCATGATTTATAGGTGGCCTTTGAACTTTTTTATGCTATAAGTATTAATCTCTTATTTGAGCGTGTAAGTACAAATTCCTCAATTTGAAGAGAAGTGATATAAGTTCTTGGATTTTGTGTTAGGTAGCAGAAATGCTACCACTTTTGAGTTAGGGAGAACTTTAAAGAGACATTGCCGAGCAAAATTTCGTTGATGGCAAAATTAGTTGGATGTGGAAGAAAAAGTTGATGAAGTGTTGAATTGCTTATGGTGAACATTTAAAATTTAGAACAGTGGACCCCAAGCTTTCTTGCACTGTTAAGTCCAATTACCAAAATTTTCTATTAATCACAATGTTCCCTGGTGTATGATCAGAGATTTAACAGAAAGCATTTGAAAAGTAATATGGTTCTACAGGAGCAGTAATCTGTTAAGCATTAATTAAAACAATGGACAGTTTGCCTATATGATCATTTCCCTTCTGTGGAAAACTATAGCTTTCCTTCATTAAGATTCATAGTTCATTCAAATACAGATCAAGAAAGTAGAGGCCATGGGATGGGGTAGGGGACAAGGCTGACAGGTTTGGTGGTAGGAATGAATGGCTGAAGGTGACTGCATTCATAGCCACACATTTGCGGCTGTTACGGAGTAGTGCTGTGTATCCACACCAGAAAAAAAGGGTGAGAATGCTGTTCGCCTTTAGTATGTTCATAAGACTAAACTTTGTGTGTAAAGCAAAAGACAAGGGCACGTCCAATTAATGAAATTTTGTATCCCTTTTTCCATTTATTAAAGAAAAATGAGCCAAATATTAAGAGGCTGTTGTAAAAGGATTTGGGATTTGTACAGGCAGAGGGAAAGAACTGGATTTTTTGCAAATGTGGGAAGAACTGCTGCTTGTATTTTCAAAAGAAAGAAACAAATACCAATGGTTCAATTATAGTAACATTAGGCTTGTTCTAGCAAACTCAGGGCAAAGGAAAAATTATCTTTAATATCAGACTTTATATTCAGTTATATATGCACTGTGTAGAATAAAGTCACTCCATTTAACATAGTCATACCAATTCAAACTTCCGTAGTAGAGCCTAGTGTCTAGTTTTCTCTTACAGGAAATGGAAGATAGCACTCATTTAATTGCAGTAGTTATTGTTTGGTGAAAATTTGTTTGTAGAGATCTGATTTTTCTTTCTTAATTTTCAAGTGGACTATCTTTGCGGTATTCACGGAATTCTTAAACTCTTACTCATGTGATCTTTAAATGAAATAGGCTAAATTGCCTATTGAAGACTTCTGTCTGTGTTCTCTTCCCCCCTCCCATTTCTGGGGAATAGGTGAACGTGGTATACCTTGGGCATGAATTGGATGGAGAATCTGTTAGAGGAAACACTTAAAACCTTTCTACATTCACTGTTGAGTCTGTACCTCCAAAAGCATTCTTGCCTTCCTAGAGTTAGATCATATCTGAACACATCTGCACCTGACTATTGACTGTAGAAAAGGAAGCACATGTTACCTCTGTAAAATTTAAACCTGAGTTGTTTAAGTTTTTTTTCTCTCCTTCTATTACACTATTGCTTAGGACATGATAGTAAAAATATATGAAATACTTTAAAGCGTACTGGGGTGCTGTTATGATGTTGCTTCACTTCCTCTATCTATTGCATGGTGGCAAACATGGTGTTTTGAAGGAACTTTTCAAGTTTTAAAGTTTGGATGTGAAATAAAATGCATGTGGGACTAGAACTTACTCAGATTTGAACTAGGTAAGTTTTACCTTTTTTTCAGCATTAATAAAGTTTGAATCTGTTTATTTTTGTAATTGCCTGCTTTTTTATCTTTTTACTGTGTTTTAGTCCAAATTTCACCATCTTTAATGCAGCTCAGCCTTGTCCAGTCTTGCTTCTTCTTAAATTCTAAACTTGCTCTAAACAAACCCAAACGTGTCAAGCGAATTCTGTCACAAAACTGAGATAATCGGTGCTGGGCCAGGCTACTTTAGAATGACTCAATATTATAAAATCAGTGATGTTAAGTATCTCATCTTTCTGGAACAGGACTTCAACCTTGTTTGGTGGCATTGTGCCCAAAACATCTTGTTAAGTCACTGTTTCTGAGTTTGATAAGAGTGGAAAAGGACATCTTTGCAGCAAAATACTTTTCATATACATTTCCTTAATAGTGTTTGAAACGAAACTTTTTTTATATATGGTTTTGCTTCAAAAAGCAGCTTGAGACTGTTTTCTGACTGCTTGATTAGGTGTTTAAAATTTCAGAAAGAAATTGTATATTGCAAGTTCAACGACAAAGTTGTGTACAGAACAATTTCAGAAGAGCAACTTGTAGTACTTCATGACTCTTGAGCAGTAGTAACAGGTTGTGATGACAGAATAGATATGAGACCAAGTGTTACACGTTAGGTGATCAAGGTACATGTTCCATAGTATAACTGGCATTGGTAAGGTAAATTTGATCCCTAACCAAAGTTCTGACACTGGCAGAACTATGTCTATAGCAGTTGAGACACATCTCTGCCTTTGCTGTTTGTTTGCTTAGGATAGTTACAAGCTATGGCTAGTAGTAATTTGTTCACAGACTCATTATTACTGTTGATGTAATCATATTTTGAATCAAGACTGTTCACTATGTGAATTAGGATGCTGTTGTCATAGTTGTAAAGATGCCCTTGAGAACTTTAGTCTTTGATGTCTTTGAAGGAATGTAGGGGAGGTAAGCATCCAAAAGCCCACGGTGATCTTATGTGTAGCTTTCTAATGCCTTCTTCCTCTTATTTTCCAAAGGACTTTTACCTATAGATTCACACACTTAAGAGTATGTTCTGTAGAAAATGCAAAATTGCGATTTATTGAGAAAAGAATCTGATAAGTTGACTACAAAGGATCCCACTTACTGAGTACTACTCAGTAGTAATTCCTTCTTTACCAGAGTTTTGCTAGCAGTACTTCTGGAGGCTGACTACAGGCTTGATCTGTGTGTGTAAGAGAGGAAAACTGGACTTGAGAAGAAGTAATTAAGACTTACATATCTTAGGTTTGTTAATTATTATTGTAATTACATCATTTAGGAGTACAAATTTAAGGCCCTGCTAATGTATTTTTTTTTCATTTATTCAGTAAAATGTATACTCAAGCAATGCTTTTGTACTATGGTTACAAGAATTGTAGGTGTTAATGCTTTTGTTCTGTGTTTTTCCATGGTGTTCATGAGTAACTCCTACAGAATGATTGCCTAATAAAGCTATATGTATTAGCAAACTAGTATTTGAATCACCAGGAAGTTTTGAGATGTTTTAAAGATTCTATAGCATATTCTTGGTATGCTGCAAATAAGAGTTCTGTAGTCAAATACTGGAGAAAAGAATGAGGAATACCTATGAACTTTAGTTTGACCTAGTGTTTCATCTGGATAGTGGTATTCTAACATGTACTAGGGTACTAGCAAAAGGGTTGGTACAGACCAGAGAGAATGAGATGGATACTTTCAGGAAAGAGAAATAGTGAATGTATTATCTTTAAGCAAACAAACAAAAAACCAAACTCAACCCTGAGGATCACTGAACAAATTTGGTATCTTAATCTTAAAGAAATTCTGGACAAAAAGGTATAAAATGTAGGAAACACTGGACTTGGTGAAAGCCAGACTGGCAACAATTTAATCTGGGTAGAAATACTGTGGAGCTGAGTTTAGAGATACTGCTTTATGTGGAAGTGTGAAGTTGATAAGTTATATGTAGGAGGAACATCTAGTACTGCCTAAAAAGTAGAACATTTACTGTATGTGTTGATGCTGACTCAAAGGAAGAAAACACTTAGACTCTGGTTCTTGACAGGACATCAGAATTCTAAAGTTTTTCCAACTTATATATGAATGTTATAAATAAAACGCCAGCAGGAAAAAATATTTTACTGAAAGTTCTCTCTCGTTTTTTTGAGGGCTGTCTAGTTATAAAGATTTAACTTGAATCTCCTGAATTCACAAACTGAGAACAGGAATTAAAGCTGATGATATTTCATGCTAAAAAGGGAAATGTTTTTTCAACTTGCCATTCTTCAACTTCTGATATGTTGTATTGGCAGTCTTGCAAAACTGTACTTGCCTACTATGATTAGTGGGATCTTTAATTGCCCACAATTAAAGTCCTTGCTGGTAGGAGACACTGGCAATGGTTAGAAGACCAGACAGAAAAACATTCTTCATTTTGCAAGGGTGATGGATACAAGTGCATTAATATGAATTAATTGCTACTGTAGGGAGTAGTAGTATGCCAATAATTAATTTGTATGTCTTCTTCCATTTAAGGTATCTAGTGGATAGTCGCTGGTTCAAACAGTGGAAAAAATATGTTGGTTTTGACAGCTGGGACAAATACCAGATGGGAGATCAGAATGTGTACCCTGGTCCTATTGATAATTCTGGACTTCTCAAAGGTAACTGCCTCTGATTGTGTAATAAGTCAATACTAACATTTAGTGCAAATTTGTCACAGGTTGTTCATCTTCTGTAGTTGATACTGTAAATGAATCTCAGCATTTATCAAAGGTTTGTTTGTTTGTTTTCACACTGTGACAAGGGAACTGGAATAGGTCTCCCTAATAAATTACAATTTTATAAATAAAATTAGTGAAACTTCTTTGCAGTGGTTACAGAATATTTAATAATGTACAAATTACTGATTTATAGTGATATTTTGGGATACTTTGGGAGTTGAAATTTAGTCAAGTTGTCAAATAGCTAGCCTGAGTTCACAAAGATTTTTTTTTTTAAGCTTAACTAAATTGGTTGATTTAAAATAAACTTTTTAACTTGAACTCTAAAATTTCTTTTTGTAAATGAGCCCCAAGCCCTTACTTTGATTCTGGAACAATTGAAGAAGAGGTATTACGCAGTTCAGTGATAACATAATGTGGTGTGAAATGATAGAGGATAATTTCCTATTTTTTTGTGGTCTTCTAAGTATGGTTAAACTCTGTCACTGTTACGGTTACTCGGGTCTGACTGACTTTTGCTGAACTGTAGTCAGACTTGTGTACACAGGTCTCAGAATAGTTTCCCAGATATCTTAATCTTCAGGTCAAATTCTATATTAATGTCCAGTATTGAAATACCATTAGAGCCATTAATACTTAATCTGCAAAATCTAGCGGATAGAAAATCTAGCAGATAATTGGTTTCCTGCTTTGCAGTTACAGGTAATGTAATAGTACTGCATAATTTGTTTGCACATAGTAATACAAATTTTTACAACTTCATGGGATTTATGATGAACTCTGACTTTATTAATTCAAAACTTCTCAACTGTAATTAATATCTCATTATTTTACAAGTTAAATGTTAAGGTGATTGCCTCTTGCATAGGACTTGTCATACTATGGTGCATTAGTTGTCAGTGTGAGTGAGTGTGCATGTCTGACAGTGATTAGTATCAGTGCCTTTGAAGAAGGTGCTGTATTGTCTTATGCATCTATATGTTCTTTTCCATCCACAAACCTAAAGGTCTTTTTGCTCCAGGTGAGTGATGTGTTTTGTTTTCTGAAATATGAGGATCTAGATCTTTTGTATATTCTGGTAGTAATTCTTGCAGTGAGGCAGGCATGTTCAGGTGATACTTTTCTTTCCAGTTAAAATCAGATGTTGCAAAACCTTTTTATCCTTGATGAGGCAGCATCAGCTTACTCTCTCTTCTATGTCTACCCACTTAAAAAAAAAAGGTTATTCCTAGGTGCGCAAAGCACTGTGTTAGTTGATCTGTATTATTTGTAACTTAATCTACATACATGTTCAGATTATGTTTAAAGTTACTGTGGATATGAAGCCTTTATTAGGGTTAGCTGTCCAACTCTAAAGTCATGTTAGCCGTTTTGCTAAAAGCTCCTGAAAATCTGTATTGTATCGTTTTGACACTTGCCCATACTCCTTTCAAAATAAACACAGCATCCAGGTTTATGAACTTCACTTTTGCTCATTCATGGTTCTAAAAACTGTGGCTCTGCATTGGCCATGATATCATGCATCTAATTACAGTCTGATATCTACTGTTCCTGTGTGAAGGCAGTTTTAAAATTAAGGGCGTTAGTGCTCAGGAAATAGTAGCTGTCTCCTTCACCTCTTGCAAAGCAGCAATCCTCTCTACTAAGTTACCTGTGTAGCATAAATTGAACTTGAAAATGCTTGTTTTTCAAGCCCATCTTTGGCACGTAGTATGCCCTAGCTGCTGTCATACTGCACTCCTTAAATGTTAAGTCTGAAAATTTGCATCTGATTTGAAGAATAAAATAATATAAAACGGGCGTGCTTTCTCAGATGTTCTGCAGTGTAATGTAGTGACAAGGAAAAGTATTATTAAATTCAAGACTGACTCCAGGAAACTGAAGCAATATGTTGTGCTTATAAATGCTGCTCCCCTATTTCCAGAACATTTGGATGAAGTGAGAGCAGTTAGAAGTTACAGGTAGAGATTTCTGTCAATCTCAACATATGCAAAAAATGTTGTTGAATGTAATGGAATGCACACATGTCATCTTGAAAAGAAGAGAGATATAGTCAACTTCAGGTTAGCAAAGCAAATGCAAGGAAGCAGTCATTTGGAATAGCTCATTGTTCATCATAGAAGTGTTACATATGAGGGACTGAATCATCAGTCAGGGTACTTCTTTGATGGAGTAGGTTCTGAAAAAATTATACTAGAAAAAATGTTGGGCTTTTTAGAAAGACAGAATGGAGTCCAAATTAAGTCCTCTCACTATGAACTCCTGTAGCAGTATCAGTGCAGAAATACAGTAGGAACCTTTTAAAGAGATACAGGAGGACCTGAAGGTGTGTTTGTGGATTTCTCCCCCCACTTGCTCCCAATTATGATGGAACTGCCATATGCATAGTGTTGAGTGGGCCAAGTAAGAATTGGTAGTGCAAGTCGTAAATTATTTCAGCAGATGTTTCTTGTAGATAGCTCTTGAATATAGATTATTTTATTTTTTTCCCCTAATCAGTCAAGACAGCTTTGAACCAAAACTTGACCCTTGAAAGTTGTTACTTTTACAGCTAGGATGAAACAGCCTGAGGGGAAAAAAGGAAAGTACCTTTTAAAAAGGTGCATTGACTGAAGTCTCATTTATTAGGTCACATTATTATATTTATCTCCATGAAGAACTGAGTTCTTATTTACTTGTATGTTCATGGAGATGTTCATGTGAAATTCTGTTTTACTTTTTGCTCAAGAAATGTAGGTACTGTGTCTCCCAAAGACAGATCCAAAGTCTGAGGTTTTCTTCCACTTCCCTTTGTTGCCTTCTGTGTGGCTCTTGTATTGTTTCTTGCTGAAATTGCTACAAATACTTTGGCTATTTCTGAACTTGATTATCCCTTCTTCTAAAATAACTTCATAATTCTAATACTTAGCTGGCTGTATTTTGGGGTTTTTGTTGTTGTTAGGGGTTTTTTTGTTTAGCTCCTGCTACTAAGTCATTTATGATTTTTATGAAAGAAAATGCATGCAAACCATATTGTACCTTCTTGACTGCATGAAGTCATCTCTAAACTGCACAGATTGCATGTTATGGGAACAGCATCTTTTTGCCACGTCTGAGCAGCTAGTGGTAGTAACAAGTATTGCACACTTAAAGTACATGAACTGTGAACAGCATGCATGTCCCATGTTTTACTCGCGTATCAAGATACTTAGCTGGAGAAGGAAAGAGGGAGTCAGCACTAGCGATAAGGTAATAGGAGCAGAAGAAAGCTGTGCATCCTTCTTTGCCCATATTTTCACTATTTGGGTGATTAAAGCAAAAAGCATTGCTTTTTTTCCCATATTTTCCCTTAAAATCACAAACCCTTTAAACCAACTGAAGGTATAGCAGGTGTAGGTAGAGTAGGGAGATTTCTAGGGTCTTGGTAAGCTGAAACTCATTTACTCTTCACGCCAGGAAGTGAATGCATCTCTTACATGTCCTCTGTAGTGTTGCCCTCCTAGAGAAAAGGTCATGTTGAAACATGTTTTGTTAAATTCTTACACAGAAGAAAAATATTGAATAGTTGTTATTAAAGGACCTTTAATTTTTAAGTGTGCCTTTTTTAAAGCTCAACATAATTTTTTTTTAATTGAAGTCACATTGTGCTGTGTTTGCTCAATCTGTACAAAGGACAAACAAGAGAAGTACAGAAATAGGATAAAATGAGAGGATTTTAGTGCTTTTCATATGTGCATAGCATGTACTTATTTTGTCCTTACAGAAAAATGAAGGTAACAGTATTCATTTTGCTTAGAAGTATTACTTTTAAAAAAAAAATCCAAGAGGAAGGCCAATACCTGAAGCAATTTGAGATTATTTAAGGTTACTTTTATGCTCAGTTTTAATTGTGCAGTGAAATTCTGCAGTTCATTCACATAGGACAAGGAAAATAAATAGACTGTATATTTATTACAGTCTAATTATTCTTTATACATAGTTTACTTATTTTCAGACTTCACTAAATTTGTCATCCCGATTCATTCTTTGGAGATGAATGTGTGGGTCTCCCTGTTTGATCTCCCTCTGTACAGAGGGATATTTGCTGGCCTGTAGTTGGGTACTTCCAGATGAAAAGACAGCTGGCCTAATTGTCTGAGGCTCATAGTGCTCAGATCTGGAATCACCTCTTAACACATACAGGATAGCTGCTATCTTCCTACTGTAATAAGGATTAAACCAAAGCTAAAAGCATGCTACTTATGTAAAGAGGTTGCCAAGTTGTACTTCTTTCAAGTGCTGCATCTCACTGTACCTGTGAAAAATTTTGTAGGGACTGTGTTTCTAGAGCACATAGGATTCTTTAGGTAGGAGGGTTGTGCCATGTTATTTTCCCAGTCTGACATGGAGTGAATGACTTTGACCTTTGTCTTGGATCTACTGTAACTACCCATTCCTGCATTTTCAGTGAAGGATGCAACTGTAGCATTAAATTGAAGTATCTGTGGTGATGTGGGAACATGTGCAAACTGGGTGGAAAAATGGATTGGTTTCTCTGAAGGCTTATGGTTGCACGAGGATATGCAGTTGTCACTCTTGGATTCCTGAGTATAGGAGTAGTACCTGTAATAGATGTGCTGTGCATGAACTGGATAGCTTGCCTAAACAGTTTCAGAAGAGTTTTGCTTTGAACACCATATTACTGATAACAACTGTGGCTCAGAAAATATTTTGTTTGCTATTTATATGAAGAGTGTTACATTTAAAACTCAAGTAACAGAATTACGGTAAAAATATCTTTCTCTTATAGATGGTGATTCTCAGTCTCTCAAGGAACATCTCATTGATGAGCTGGACTACATCCTTTTGCCAACCGAAGGCTGGAATAGGCTAGTTAGCTGGTACACACTGATGGAAGGTCAAGAACCAATAGCACGCAAGGTACTCTTAAATTACCTACTGGGATGAATATGATTCAGATATAGTCCTGCGAATATGCAGGAGTTGCACAGGAATTTATTAGAAGATTTTAAGTCATGGACTATGATAATCATATAGGCAGCTCCTGCTTTAGTTGCTTATAGATATCTAATTTTTATTCATTTTTTAGAGGCTTAAGTTTTTAATATTGAGAAATGAGGTTGCAAAGGATAGAATACATTTCTCCCTGGAAGTAAGCCCTCTAATATTTCAAGAAGAACTTGCTTTAGAAGCTTGTAAGTCTATTAATGCAAATGGTTTTGTAATTCAGCATAAACCCCTAAAACTGTATTGACTATATTAGTGAAAAACCTAGCTCTAATAATATTAACACTGTCAGAGTAATTGCTAGTTCCTTTTCTGATAAGCAGTGTCTTCTGTGTTCAGCAGCTTGCTAAGAGAGGGGTTTTTTTAAGCAAAAAGCTTACCTCAACACAAGTAGTAGTCCATGGTATGGTGGATACTGTGGCCCTCTGTAAGTATGAGATACTTAAATTAACATCCTTGATGTTAATTTTTTTGTGCTCCAGGACGTACCATCCTTATTATTAAAGTGATGTGAAATTTTACCAGTTTATTCTTCATATAATCTTGTTAGTTTATATTATTTCTTAAGTTTTAAAATACATTCCGGTATGTTTGCCATTTCTAAATTGACCATTAGGGCGTATTCCTTCAGTTACAGGGATCTTTAGAAAGAATATTATTGTTAGAATTTAGTTTGATATGACTTCTGGTGTAATACAACATTTCTCCCTCCTATGACAGGAGTATGGTCTAACTACATGCATGCTGGCTGCTTATGTGAAGTGCATTCCTTTCAAACAAATGACAGATTTAGCTATAGAAAAAAATTTGTGTCTTCAAGATTGATTTGGTCAGCAATAGAAGTAGTTTGTTGGGGTTTTTTAACATTCTCTTTAATACAATATAAGAGATCTTTTTTAAAGAGACATTCCTGGAAGGTCTCTTTCTTTTTCTCTAGTTCTGTAAGAGCTGAAATCAATTAAAATGGCTCTCCTTCTTTAAAGATGTATCTGTTATCAACTTGTTACTGTTTTTCCTGAAGATGGATTTCAGCAAACTGAATGTTCTTCCATCATCATGGTAAAGTAAAAGTTCTGTAATTTTTTCACTTTGGGGAGAAAATGGAAGGAGAGAGAAGGGAAATTAGAGTAACTTACCTTCTACTTGGACAGAACTAACTGGAAAAATACATGGGGTGTAATGAGTGGCCAGGTAAACTGGCATAGCTTCATTGTTTTCTGTCAGTATGAACAGTACTTATCCTCAGAGATGCATATTCTGGTTCAGAACATTTCTTTCTGATGCTTTTGTCATTTGTTCATGACTCTTCCTCCTGTCTGCCGTAAGGTTTTTTCATAAGGATAGGATGATACTTTTCTATCATGCTCTTCGTTACATCAACTTTTTTTGAAATATGGATCCAAATTTTCAATTGATACAATGTTGCACTTGATCACTGTCAGATAACATTATGCATTTATGTGGAAGGATGTGGTGATACTACCACTGCATTGTCAGTTGTATTCTCAGAAATCTTAGCCATACTACACAATTCTGTTTACTGCAACTATTCTGTTGTTTCTCTAGTAGCTGAAAACCTTACTAAGCTGCTCAAATTAAAATGCATTTTTTATCTAAATGTCATTGTTGGCAGTCATTAAAGCTAAGGCAAACTACTGAACAGCAGTGAAACCATTCACTTTTTTTTTTGTATGGCACTTGTGTATAGCAGATAGCAGATCTCTCCTAGCAATTAGCTGGTGGCTTTTTTTTTTTTACCTTATTTGTCAGATGTATCATATATCAGGCTGATGGTTATTTTTGGAACAGTCTACATGACTAAGTACTGCAGTTACACTTTGGAAGATCAAAGGGAAAAACATTTAAGAGGTGACCCTGAATATTTTTTCCGAGTTTTCAATTTTATTTAAAAAAAAACCCAAAACTGTATACCTGACTATTTTGTAATAGATGTTGCAAAAATGAACATATAATAAACAACTGTAATGAGTAGGGGAAATTTCAAATGAATGTATTCATTACTGGAATATAAGTGGAAGATATGTAGGTCTTGCTTAAATGCAGGATTTGTTTAAAAATATCATAGCCAGATTTTATTAGTGTGTGCTCTGTTTTTGATAAGTATTCTTTAACTGTGAAAACTAGTTTGTCATCTTTTGAGGATGAGCATACAATGAATGTATTTTGAAATAAAAATAACATTTGATGTTTCTTATCTTTTGATCAAGTATCTTTTGGTTAATTATACACATTTGTGATTTCTACTGTACTTAACACTGAAAGTCATGGCAATGTTACGTGTAGGTAAGATCATCAGCATGGGAAAAAAATTACTTTTTAGTTCACTGTATTTCTAAAAAGCTATAGGAGAATTTTAGTTCTAATTTTTGGTGTTTATTAAGTGTCTTACATTCCCTGAACTTCAGTTTCTTGAAGAGTTCTCAAAAATATTATGAAGGGTGTATACGAAAACATGTTTGGACTGACACCTGATCCCAATCTGTTTTTCAGGTTGTTGAACAGGGTATGTTTGTAAAGCACTGCAAAGTGGAAGTATATCTGACAGAACTAAAGCTTTGTGAAAATGGAAATATGAACAACGTTGTCACACGAAGATTTAGTAAAGCTGATACAATAGGTAAGTGCAACTGTTTTTAAAAATATGTGATTGTTACTTGTTTAAATAGTACTTGGTAGCAAGTTCTGAATAAATAAGTCTCTAGGTAAAATGATAGATGAGTATTGTAACCATTAAAAAGGATAGGAGTATAGTCTTGTTTGGGTCAAAATTGAAAGTTAACTATTTGAAATATTTACAATTTTTAATACAATTTTTTTAAAATGGTGTGTTTTATTATCTAGGCATCTGTGTTAACTCTAAAGGTTTACACTTTTCAAGAAGTGGAGAGTGTGATGTTTTTCGTTATCTCTATTGAATTCCATAGTACTTTTTCTTGGCTTTTGGTGTGTAAGAAATAGATTTTTTTCATGTGTTTCCATTCATGTCTTTCGTTAGCCAATACTTTTTAGTCATATATATAAAGAGAAGGGTATATTACAAAACACTAGAATGAATTGAATTTATAAACTAATAGCTAAAGGTGACCTACAAAGACAGTATTCTTTGGGTTGTGAAGTGGCAGGCCAGGCACAATCTTTTACCATAACAGAGTTCTCTATTAAACCTTTAACTTATCTTTCTTTGTAGTTGTTGCCCACTCTTTGAGCATTGTGTCGTTGTTTGAAACCATATTTTGATAACAAATGTGTCTGTGAACATATGCAAAGATATTGCTGATCACATCAACTCAATTTTTGGTGTACTTGTGCATGTGTACCTGAGATAAGAGTCTTTCAGTCACCTGTATTTGTGCAGTTAGAATTGTATTTTATGCCCTTGGCACTTTATGCCTAACCATTATTCTTTGTTTACATTCTTTGACAGCAATGTAGGTTGGGGGGGGTTGCTTCCCTTTACATTATGGGTAGTGACTTATACTTGCTACCCTTTAATTCTTTGCAGATTGCTTACTTTTAAAATGGAATAATTTTATAGTTAAATAAGTAACTATCTGCTTGTATTAGAATAAAAACTTTAAAATTATGAAATTCGTCCTTGAAACAAGGCTTCAGTGTTGTATGTTATTAGCCTTTTTGAGATCTCGTTTAACATTGGAAGATGTACTTCATTATTCTCTAAGCAAACCCAGAAACTTAGAAGAAACAATTTAATATTACCCTTCCCTGAGGACCAAATACAAGCTCTTTTGCAGCTATACTGAATTTAATTGTATCATTGGAATTATAGGTAATGGATGCATTTCTGACATTTTCTTTCTCTAATCAGAAGCAGGGCATTTTGGAATGACTGTTACTTGGAGGTGTATTCATTTTTTCTTAGCAGAGAGAAAATTACAATTATGAGAAAATTGTCGTAAAGGGTAATGAGAAACAGTCAGGCTCACTGGCAACCCCTTTCAAGACACTAGCCTTATGTGCTTTCCTGAGATGTGGATGACATGCTCTTGGGAAGCCTTAAAAGCATGCCCTTTCTGAAGGTGAAGGTTCTTAGGCAGAGCACCAAGTAGGGCCATCCTAGCCATGATATCCAAAAGCGTTTGTATCTTAGAAGAAGAGCTAGAAAAATTAAAACCACTTTCAGGAGTGGAAAAATAAGCGATCCCTGAGGTTTTTCTTTTACCATATTAATAAAATGGTGATTTTTATTTCCTCTTCTGCCCCTGTCCTTACCTTAAGTATATTTAAGGTAGTTCTGGAATTCATCAGCAGAGATGAATATATATAGCAGAGATGCTTATTATATCAATGAATAATATGCTGGAGGAATTTTACAGAATCTTCATTGTTTTTCACCCTTCCCTGTATATGCCAGTAAGGGATGCATTTTCATTATGGTTGTAGAATTTTGTAGCACAAAAGAACCTGTATCAGGCCCACTGAAGTGAGTGCACATAAGGTACTATGGTCTTTTCAAGAAGTTTTGAGTTTTCTACCCACCATCTTTGGTTATATTATTTACTGCCCTCAAAAGATCAGTATAAGACCTTCCTTAATTCACAAACAGCGAAAGTTTTGGAGCACCTTAAATACTCTTAAGCACAGTATAATAGTCACCTACCAGTCTTCAAATGTGTGTTATTTGTGGAATACCTTTTCCACTCAAATAGAAACTAAGCTAAGCTGTATGTCAATAGTTTAGTACAAGGTAGGAAAAAATAATTACAGAGGGCAGACCTGATAATGACAGTCATTTTCTTGAACATACCTAATGTCTTCTTTGGACCTTCTTGGGAATCTCCTACAATTGAGGACTCTTGCCTTGGAGGCAGTGCATATAACTGTGAGACTGATTGATGACTAACTCTCTTTTGGGGAGTAGGAGTGTTTTGTTTAATTCTGGAAAGCAAATGAGCTAGACAATAAATGTAGTTCAGGCAGCATTTCAGTCCAGTTATTTTCGCTGATCCTAGAGGGCATCACGGCTTCTGGGTGAAAATGAGTTAATGATCCATTCAGGAGTCTTAATCATATGAAAGTATGATAAAACTAAGTCATCAGCTAATGTGTAGGTCTTTTCTACCTTTATTCAGGAGTTTTACAAACCACAATGACAGAAAGACTGACTGTAGCCTCTGTTATGGATGAATAGGAGTCAGGTTGTGTCTGCAATGGCATAAAACGATTCCAAAACTGAACTGATAAATTTTGTAGAAGATTACACCAGTGGCTCTGCATCTAATGGACTTTTGGACTTTTGCTAGTAAATTATCTTGGCAAATGGCTTTGATTCATCTTTCCCTTTAATTTACTGCAGAATGCAAGAATGTAAAACTTGCTGCCCTTGAGTACAATTTATTCTGGGATCTGTGACTAGCGTTTCCATTCTTTAGGGAGCTGAGATTACTGTTTCATAGTAGAGACGAACATCTTACTACAGTTTCCTTTAGCCAGTATTTGCAATAGCATTAGCATTTAGAAGCCAGCGTGTACTTGTATTAGGATCCACTGAACTTCTCCAACATCTCATCAAGACTCTTCCACATAGTCTTGCAAAATAGCACTTAAATCACGCAGCTGTTTTTTTGGAGGTGCTATCTGATAGGGTATATCCTGTATGTGATCCATAACCTTTAACTCTCAAATGTAACTATCTCAAATTGTAGCTATATAGCTGATGGATTGAGGGGCATCTTTAAAGGGCATTTTCTTCCTGTCTCTTCAGACGTTGTCCTAGTACTAATCATCTTATACATGGGATGCATCTAATGCTACTAGAGGAGAGCCCAGTATACAGTATGTCGAAGACCATACCTATTTGAATGTAATGTTTTCATTTAGACTGGAACAGGCACTTTCACTTTAGATCATAAGCCAGCACTTCAGTGACACTTGCTGGGGGGTGCGGGGGGCAGAATTATAAAGAGTGCATTGGTTGCATTCATGGTAGCGTGTAAAAGAACCTCAGTTTAACAGTCTCAAAATTAGCATAATAGTCAAGTAGAATGTGAGTCTTGGACGTAGTGAGTAGTCATCTGATAGGATTGATGCTTCCTGTCTCATAACAGTTCTGTTAGTGCGGTGGAGTATGTTAAAAATTAACATAATAGATGTTAATTTAGTACTTGTGAAGAATACGAGCTGCAATGCTCAAATAATTAATTGTCATGGTATTAATAAGATATGAAAAATTATCTTTTGTAAATTCTTCTTTTAGGGTCAGTCATTGATAAATATGGATTTTTTTTTTTCTTTTTTGGTAGATTGTTGCTGACTAGGTTCATTCTTAGATTCAAATGTAGTTATTTGAAATCATTGGTTGAGAATTGGTTCAGACCGTACATAATTTTTTTTTTTAAATCAACAAATCAAGTAACAGCCTATTGCCTTGTTTATAGCACCTACCTTGCCTACATATCACCTCTATTATACAGAGACAGATGATCCAGTCTAACACTTACTTTCATACTAAAATGTGTGTTAACTAGTATAGAAGGAAATTGTATTCAGTTGCCTACAATATCTACAAATACTGTATTGGCCAGATGTCATGCATTTCACAAGCCAATGGCTGGGTTTTTACAAGGTACTTTTAAGCTTCTGGTCTTATTTTGACTTTTCATATTTAGCAATAGCAGAAGAGAAAATAATGATCTTAATAATCTTAAGTAAAAGGGAGCAAGGGGAATGCTAGAGGAGCTGACACACTGGTGTTTTATCCTTTGTCTCTCAAAGAGCTTACATTGGCCCTTTCTGTAATTGTGTTTTCAGTGATCACCAGGAATAAACTGTACATTTCTTGACTCCTGTTTTGTTTTCTGTGTTAGCTGTTATGAGACTTGGCTGCCATGGGGCTTTGAGTGTACCAATTAAAAAAAAAAATTCTGAGTGAGGTTGCTATGGTATAGAACTGTACATATTCGTTCAAAGTAAAGAACTCTAATAAAATCTGCTTTTGCATAAGGAGAATGGAGTTAAATATGGACCTCTTAAATTTCAGTTGTATGCAATAGTTATACTACCTTAAAATTATGTAACACTGATTATATTTCTCTCAGGTGGAGTAAGAGCTGGTAGACCGTTTTATGTTAAATCTTTCAGGGATGTAAAATCTTTCATCATGCTTTTAAAATAAATTTACGTGCTTCAGTTTTACAGAGTAGTCTTGAATTTCTGTGAGAGTGTAAATTAAAGTTTATGCATATATATTGTGCTTAGTGCTAAATGCACTGGGATACAGGTAGTAGAAGAATGAAAACCAAAAACAGTGTGATTTAGGGAGAGGAGCAGAATGACTTGCACTCCCTGCACCTGGTTTTGCTGCCAGGCTTGCTTCTAATCATTCCCTACCCACCCACACTGCTGTGTTACCATGCTCTAAGAAATTAGTAGATGGGTACATAGGTACCTCCTGTTAATCAGCTATTTATCAACTTTTCTTTATTCGGTCTGCTTTGCTAAGAGATTCAAGAGGGAATAAAATAGTCCTCTGACTGCTTCCATTTTAAAGGCAAGCGAACTAGCAACTTTATGCTTGTCCTACAGTGTGATGTAATTGCATGGATATTTCTACAGTTTCATTAATATTTTGAATATAGGAAAAGAGTATGTGATTCTGATGATTTATTTGGCCTTATAGTGTTTGTGTAGTGAAATGCTAAACTTGTGTTCTCTCCCTTTCAAAACAGATACAATTGAAAAAGAGATAAGGAAAATCTTCAATATTCCAAGTGAAAAAGAGACCAGGTTGTGGAACAAATACATGAGTAATACTTTTGAACCTTTGAATAAACCAGACAGTACCATACAGGATGCTGGTTTATACCAAGGACAGGTGCAGTGTAATTTTATTTCTTTTTTTATATGTCTATTTTTTTGCTCATGAAGTGTAGCTGTACCCAATGAATTTTCCTTCTTTTGAAATGAAAATTGCCTCCTAATAGATTGTGTTAGGGATAGAGGATTTTATAAGCAAATTCATCAAAATAGAAGTAGCCTTGGAGTGTGTTTTCAGGATTAAAGATGAGTTTAACTTTCCTGGTCAATTAAAAGTAAATTAACATAGCATGACAAGCTGACTTGAATGTGGTAAAACCTGAAGTAAAAAAGAAATCGTAGGATCTGGAATATGTTCCTATAACAAAACCCCAAATTTGAAAAACTTCTTAGGTACTCTAAAAGAATAATGTCTTCTACGCAAATTCCACTGTCCAGATTTCAGAAAGAAACTAAGAAAAAAATGAAAATATTTCAAATAAGAAATATAGAGACAGAAGACCTTGAAGACCTTCTTTAGCATGGGTCTATATAATCACTTTAAAATCCATTTATGGGAGAGTTTCTTGAAAGAGAATTTTTTTACCTTTTCAGATGAATGTAAAGAACAATATTGGATGTTAAAGCTACACAAACTGATTGAACAACTTCATCGTTAGAATAACTTTTCAGATTATTATATTGATTCTTTAGTCTTCATATAGAATTGGATGTTTTTTCAATAGCTGTATTTCATGCTGTCACGCTACAAATATGAACGGATGAAATTTGATGGCGGTAATTGTAGGCGAGATTACATTAAAGTATTTTCTTGAAATACTTGACTCTAACCTACTTACCAGCAGTATTTATGCTGTGCTTCAGTTTTCTTTTATGGCATGGAAGGTAAGTAATCGGTGCACCAAAATAACAGCTTGAACTATTGTGCCCTTTAGCTTCATGCTGCATGCACTTAAAGGCTCACACAGGTAATTTTAACAATGCAGAGGTCCTGCTGGAAGAGCCCGTATCTCCCATAAAAGATTTGCGTCAAAGATGTAACTTGCAAATTGCCTCTATCCCAGTGAAACATTAACTATGAAGAAAGCATGGTCTAATATAGCCATAAAAAGATCTCTAGGTGACATCTGTACTTTTAGCAAAACAAATATTGTTCAAAGTTGAGTTTAACCATGGTTTCTGAAAATGCTAAATATTGTGGTCGACCATGTGTGTTTGGTCTGTTGCACTTGCTGACACACAAGGTTATTTTTCTTGCTGAACCTCCTAATCTAATAATAGCTATTCGGACTATTACAGTCTGTCTAACCTAATAGTTATTTTTTACTTTGTAATCCTAAACTATGTATGTGATTAGAGTAAATTGATGTTGTAAATTTGTCAGTTGGTTCCTGAAGTGAGCCTTTAGGGGTTCCATTGACCTTTTAAGTCTAAATCTTCCTTTTATTTAGTAGTCTGAGAGCCAGTTGAAGGAAATATGGCAGAATCTGTCTTACAGCATTTCATGACCAAAGATAGCAGACTACTCTTTTCCAGATAGAAAGTTGGTCATGATGGAACGCAAGTTTTCAACGTCATGTCTTAGTGTATTCATACTGAAAAGGTGATTACATCTTTAAGTGGCAGCATGACTTACGTATAAGGTTTTGAGCATAAGAACATATGTGAATGTATGTCATTGTGTAGAGACATACAGGCATGGCATGACTGCTAGTTAGTGTCCTGAAACATCAGTGTGCAGTTATGCAGAGTCACTTGCATTGGTAAATAAAAGTTAGATTCAGTTTAAATACTGGAGTCTAGTTGCCATTTCAAATGATCTGTCTATCCCAGCTGTCAATCCAGAAAGGCATGAGCTTTTTGTAGGTCCTGTGTCATGTCTGCCAGCATAGGGCAGATATCTCAAATACCCAAAGGCGTTTCAAATGGCACTTGATGCCTGTGTTTAGGACTGAGTGTTCTGTGCTCTCTTTTGTACCAGTAACAACTTGAATGAAATTAATTTCATTATCCAGCTGTCCCCTTGGGAAATTAATATTAGATGAATGCTTTTGCAAAAAATACAGAGTAACCAGACAGATATGATTTTAAGGCTGTCAAGGCAGAAAGTATTTTGCTTTGGGTTGTATTCTACCAATCTGTGTTGAGAGTGAGGCAAAATTCCTTCAAGAATATCCCTTCCTTAACAGGACTGTTGTATAGACGTGTGATTTCTATAGAGTCATAGATGCTGTTTAGACATTGGAGATCATCTTCTGGCCTCTTTGCGAGATAAGGTCTTGCCATTTTATCCATGGATTGTTGAGGCATAGAAATATTAAGTGGATTGCCCAAAGTTGCACAAATTAAGATGTGGTGAGAAAAAAGTTAATAGAGCAAGAGGGAGGTACCCTGTAATTGAATGGAATATTCTTGAACCTCAGGGAATAGTAACTTAAACATCAGTCTTTTCCATCTCAATCACATGTCAGCAAATCCATTAAAAAGATTGGAACAGAAAGCAATCTACTGATATTTTTATTTCAGTTTGCTTATTACACTTTTTGTGGTAGGTACTGGTAATAGAACAGAAGAATGAGGATGGAACATGGCCAAGAGGTCCTTCAACTCCTAAGTAAGTTGTGAATTTAAGTCGTTATTCACTTTAGGTCAACTGTTTTCCCATGTGTTTTTGCTTTTTAAAAAACCCTGGTTTTAAAAGTGTCTTTTTGTTTTGAAAATCAGCCTTCAGATGTTTTAGCTGAAGATATGCTGAATAGTGTATTTTTTATCAGTGCTGCACATTGTAGAACATGACATAATAATGGTGAATTCCTGCGTATACACTGCTTAATTTTATTGATTTCAGCCACTGATATATGTCATCCTGCTTAAAAATAGAAAATATAAATACATAGTAGAAAACTGGAAAACTTAGCTTATTTTATTTAGATTTCTGTTTCAAAGCATAGTGTATCTGATAGATATATGTATTTTATATGTTCACCTATTTTTCTTACATGTAAATGTTTTAATGGATAGCTTGTCCTTTTATCTCCAGAGCACTGTATTTACACATAAGCGTTATTTAAATTGCAGTCTACACTACCAGCCTGTTGCTTTTGTTCTTTGTTGGGCTGTCATCAAATAACAGAGCGCAATGTTCTTTTTCTGTTCTTCCTGCTGCCATTATCAACAGCACCTTGATAATGGCAAGTGAGTAGAAAGACTTGAGTGTGTTTTTTCTCATTTAGATGGATAAACTTTTTTTAATATCGTTTCCAGAATCTAAATCATGTTCTGTTGGTTGTAAAGAACAGTTGGAACTAGTCACTAGTAAATTAACATGATCTCAGCCTTATAAATAGTTAGTTAACTATTTGTGTTATGTGTTAATATAAAAAAACTATTATGTGTTTTTTCCTTTTGTTGGCTGGTTCTTGAGCATGTCTTTCATTAAAAGTTAATTTAAGTTCCTTTTATTCCTTTTGATATTCTGCATTCATATATTTGAGGTTCACTGTTGTTGTAAAACATTTTTATAGTATCATTGCTTATCATTTGAAGGACAGAGATTCTTTATCTTTGGTGTTTCATCTCAGGCGCTTTTATTAGAAGCAGTGGCTTCTATTAAGTTGCTTGATGAAGTCTGAGTTCAACTGAAGCTTAGTATCAACAGTATAATCTTGCTTAGTAAGATGTTTTCACGTAAAGAATTGAGAATGTAGAGCAGCACAACAAATGGGATGCAAAATACTTGAAGTTTAATTTCTGACCTCAGAAAGCATCTAGTAGAAATGTAAGTTCTGAGTCAAATTTTAGATGCAGATTTTGAAGGTAAAAAGAATTTGGGTAACTCAATGTCACAGATTCTTTTGGAAATTTTGGTAGAAAGATATTCTTGCTGATGGTACCGACTTTTATTCTGCCAAATTTTGATTCCACTGTATGGAGGGTATTCAGGAGCAGTATATAAATTAAAGAATAAACATCTCCTTGAAAATGTTTGATCTGGAGAAAAGTAAAATGGTGATTGAGAATACTGGTGTCAGAGGAGGCTATAAGTAAACCAGACACTGAGGATGAATTGCTGAAGCTGGGATATATTTTTGAGGTTTGACAGCTATCAGAAAGATTGATTTGAAATTTGGTGTTCAAATGCACTGTAGTAGTGGAAGGTTTGCAATATTTAGTGGATTCAAATAGAAGCTATCAACAAGCAGTAATGGGGACAGGTTTTTACATCTGTTTAAAAATTTATGAAAAATCTAATAAATGTTTAAAGGGGTAGAAATATTAAACACTTGCTTTTCAGTCTTCTGTGTGAGATGCATTAGGAGTATTAGTTTGTCATCACAAACCATGTACATCCAGACACCTTCCTACAGTCCTGTCACTGGTCACACACTGGTCTCCCACCGATTCCTGCT